AAAAAAAAAAAAAAAAAAAAAAAAAAAAAAAAAAAACACAAAACAACCAAACCACAAATCTATGTGGGACACTCAAGCCATAAAACTGGGAATGGACCCAGACATCCCACATGAAATGACACATCCTGTGTCTCAGGCATCCCTTCTCTGGTATTAGAACCTGCTTCTTCAGGATTCCAAGGTATACTGAGACCAGCTGAGACGTCAGCCTCGTGGACAGAACGACTGTGGGACTCCTGGCCTTTCCGTGAGGACACAGCCATTGCTGGACCACAGCCAGCAACCCCCACCCTGACTAACACCTGGCTCACATGTGAGTTCCCCTCCTGAGTGCTTCAGCCTGTCCGTCCTGGCAGGTGTCTCTTTTCTTGGGAATGCCCATCGACCCCATCAGAATATTCTCTTGGGGTGACACTAGTGTGACCTCAGATGGACAGAACCCCCAGCTAAAAGGCTCATTTTGCCAAACTCCTTAGAGCTGGCTGTGATCAGCCAAGGTTTTGGCTGTCCAGGGGCCTCTTTCAGCCTCTCTGGGCTGCCAACACTCAGTGGTTGGCGGTCCCTTCCTCCACCTTCAAACCCAGCAAACTTCCCCCTCTTTCTAAGCCGGTAAAGTCCACACAGATTCTTCTTTCTAATACACCTTTCCGTGTGCTGTCTAACGTATTCCCGGGGGATGTGGTGGGCTGGGTTTTGTTTTTTTCTAATGAGGTTGAAGCGGGCCACAAGGCCAGGATTGGGCTCTGGTCCTGTTTCTGACCTGGCCCACAGTACGGTACGGCAGGCTGCACTATTCAGAGAGACCACCAGATGGCGCACGGGACCGTGGAATGAGCTTCTTGTTAGCAGCTTTCTCTGCTGCTGGCTGACTGGCTAACTTTGGGGATTGTCTCTCTTGTCTACAAGTGGCTGAAACAGTTCTGCCGATCCGTGCCGCCAGCACAGGGCACCTGTAGTCCCAGATACTTGGGAGGCTCAGGAAGGAGATCCGCTTCAGCCCAGCAGCTCTCAGCCAGCCAGTCTGCACAACACAGCGAGGGAAAATTCTGTCCCTCCGGATGGCTCACTGGCTGGTGTGTCCCAGGAACACACACAGGAGGCTGGAGTCTCCTCTCCAGGATGACCTACCTTCAACCCCAGTCTCAGAGAGCCCAACACTGGCCACTGAAAGCCACTGTTCCCAAACCTGTTTGTGTGGTTGAGCTTGTTTTTAATACTGTTCTATTGCTGTTGTTTCTTTACTTTTGTTTTGTTTGGGGTGGGGGTAAGGGGTTCAAGACAGGGTTCCTCTGTGTAGCCTTGGCTGTCCTGGAACTCACTTTGTAGACTAGACTGGCCTCGAACTCACAGAGATCTGCCTGCCTCTGCCTCCCCAGTGCTGGGTTCAAAGGTGTGCGCCACCACTGCATGGCTTCTTAAATAGCCATTCCTCGCCCACCTCTGTGTCAGTGCAAAACCCCTTTTAGAATCTCTTAACGTCATAGACCACTAACTTCCACCAATCCCCAAGCTACGAGTGTCATCAGACAGCACCTGGGCCCATAGGAGAGACTCCCTCATCTTAGCTGCCTCTCTTGTGTTTCTGCCAACGTGTTTACATTTTTTCATTTCTCATGTCTGTGAGTGTTTTTGCCTGTGTGTGTGCCTGGGGCCCAGAGGGCCCAGAAGAGGGCTCTGGATCTCCTGGGACTGGTCGTACAGATGAGTCTGAGCTGACGTGTAGGTGCCAGGAATTGAACCAAGGTCTCGAAGAACAGCCAGTGCTCTTAGCTGCTGAGCCAACGACATGTTTTTATAAGGTGCCTTGTTTTAAGACTTTCATTGTTCTGCCACTATAAAAGCCCCACGAAACCACTTCCATGTGGAGGCCTGGGACCTGAGGTTTCCTGGTCCTGTGTTTCCTGGAACCCGGTCACTCAAACTTGGCTCCGGAATAAGTGATCTCCTATTTCCTTTCAGGCAAAGAGTTGTGTTCTTACATCAACAAGACCCACCTCAATAAATAAATAAATACCCTTGAAGCAGATGTGTGTACTCTGTGGTTGGATTTCCATCACAGCGAAATATGCAAAACCCTTCCTTTCATATCAAATGTGAGTGTGTGTCACTTTTCTCCATGTTGGGGAAAATAAAAATGTGCACACCCCGTCTGCCCTTCTCCACGCTTCTCTAATCTGTAGAAGGGCTTGATTCCACTGGAGCGCAGTGGTTAGAAGGAGCCTCTGTAAAATGACCCCAGCCACAGGGGCAAGTGCTGTGTGATACTTTTTCTAGGAGGATGAGACCATCCCTGTCTACTCCAACAGGGTATCGATGGCAGACCGAAGGAGCAAACCACCAAAGTCCACCCAGAGATGCCACGTCTCAGAGTCCACCCCTTTGATGGCCCACAGTAGGATGTCCCTCAGAAGCTCTCAGCTGAAGGCTTGAGGCGTGGCTTTGGGAAGCCCTCGCAGCGGACCGGACCGGTTGACCGCACTGATGGATTCATACTGTGAGGGAAAGTCACTTGACCCCCGTGGACCTTCAGGGTTTTGGTCTTGGCCCAATGTCCTGCACAGGCTGCGCGGGTGGTAAAGGGACAGTGGCCAGCTCTTGGCGCCCAGGGGTAGGAAGTCCCTCCCTCTGTGCCCCTATAGACAACTTCCAATAGGTCCGGAGAGCCTTGGCCGCTCTAAGCGCGGCGGCCCCTTTAAGACCGCCTTGGATGACCCAAAGGCCAGAGCGACCTTTTTAGCAGCAGTCTCGATGGTATGTCCTCACTTCCGGTCGGAAGTGCGTTTGCGGAGCTGCTTCCACCCGGGGGAAGAGCCCGCGCGCTTCGTCCCGAGGGGAGCGTGGATTATGTAGCGCGGCCGGGAGGCGCCGCGGAGCCCCCAGTTAGGGCTCCAGACTTTAAACATCTCTCCCGGGGCTCCCCCCGGCGGAGGCTGGGCCCAGGCCGGCGTGCAGCCGCGGGGTGGGCGGGGTGGAGGGTGCAGGCTGGCGCGGTGCCCAGGCTTCGGTGTGCAAGCACCACACGAGGCCAGCCGCGTAAACTGAGTTGTATTGCTCTTTTTTTTCCCCCCTACCCAGAAAATGAAACACAGCCGCCAGCGGCTGGACGAAAGCACCTGAGAGCTCCCTTCTCCTCTGAGGAGAGTTTCAACCGACTTCAGCTTGAGTGATCCAGGTATGTCAAGCCTGGACTACAGTGTCCCAAGGTGCTCGGTCTGGGGAAAGGCTCCTGTGTGGTTGAGCCTACCCGAGGTGGGCGCAGCCTCGTACCAGAAAGCCCGACCTTGACCTAAAGTAAATTCCCAGAGGAAAATCTTCCCTGGGATGAGAATTTGCAGTACCAGGTGTGAACATCCTAGCAGCAGTTTGGTGATCATGTATGATACTGCAAACAGGCCTCTTGCTGCGCTTGACGCTGTTTGTTATTTGATCCTTACTCCAGCCTCTCGTAGATTTTTACGGGTACGAATGTTTGCCTGGTGCCCTCAGACGGCACAAGAGGGTGCCAGAGCGCCTGGAAGTGTGACCAGGGACGGTTGTGAGCCCCCAGTGTGGATGCTGGGAACAACTCAGGTCCTCTGCAAGAGCAGCAAGTGCTCTTAACTGCCGAGCCATCCCTGCAGCAACAGCACCACCCCCCTTTAAGATGGGGTTTCAGTTAGCCCAGGCTGCCCTTGAACTCCTGTAGCTGAGGATGGCCTTTGGGCTTGCAGTCCTCTGTCCTCTGCTTCTGGACTGCAGGGTTACAGGCAGCCTCTACCACACAGGGCTTTGTGGGCGCTAGGCAGTGCTCTGCCCCCTCCTGGAGTGCCCTGCCCTCCTGGAGCTTGAACAAAGATACCCATGCCTTTGTGACTCCAGATATCACTGGATAAGACCCCAGGACAACCCAAACCACCTGAGGGCGGAAATAGGTCCCCTGGACTCCCCCTGAGTGACCACCGGCCCACGAGGCTGTCTCTGCCGTGGCTGAGGGACTGGAATGTGTATTTTAAGTCGCCACAAGGGGCCAGTAGTCACCGTGTTAGAGGTTCTGGGTCAGGCATCTATCAGAAAGCCGTGACAGGAATCTGTGCTGGTTAAGGCACGTTGGCGTGTGGCTCCGTGATGGGGCATGTGCTTGGTATGTCTGAGGTTCTGCTCGTTGAGGGACGTGGCCTCTGTCCAAGTAGAAGTAATGTGAGGCTGTACACACAGGGCCTTGTCAGGTGTGGTCCTGTGAGGGAAGTACAGATGGGCAGGAAGCGCAGGTGGCTAGGGGGATGGGGACGGTCGGGGACAGTCAAGTAAGAATGAATTTCAGCTGGTGCTGAGCTGAAGCGGCCTCGGCCACCAGAGACCTGGCTTGTGGCTCTGTTGACCAGCAGGTTTCTAAGGAAAGCCCACAGTTAGGCCTGGAGAGAGACCCTCAGGGTGTCACTGACCGGGGTAGGCAGCCAGCCCCAGGTGCCAGCAATTTCGGTACATTTGCAAGTACAAGCAGAGGGAGAGGTCCGGTACCCTGTCCCCCCATCTAGGGGCTGTCTTGTGGGCTGGTGGTTTTAAGTAAATGCTGAGGTTGGAGGCGGGATGAAGGCTGCTGGCATATGCTTTCTTTTTTTCAGGTCATTTGGCTAGAAGATTTGCCTGTGCACTGAATGAGAACCTAGCCCTGCCGTGTGCCCCTGGACCTGGTGGGCTGGACTCTGACACGCCTTTTGGGCCTTCAGTGGCTGAAGGCCGCCCTGCTTGGCGGCTGTGAATAAAAGGAGCTCCCCACACTTGGCCGAGACACTTGTCTTGATTGATTGTTTGCCAGTGCCTCACCGGCCCCAGCTCTAGCACCGGCCAGCCCTGTGTAGCCCGGGCTGTCCTGGAACTCGGACCTGCCTACCTCTGCCTCTCAGGTGTTGGCGAAAGGCAGGTGCCACACTCGTGGTTTCTGTGCTTGACCTTGACGCGGTGTCAAGGGTGGGTTTGTATGGCCAGCGTTTGTTAAATGGCCCGTTCCCAGCTGACTTGGACACAGAGCTCGCCACTATCCAAAGAGTTTTTTAGGGAGTGTAGGAGCCAGGCAGACGGTGTCCTCACAGAAAAATGTTTTATGTGTGTGGATGTTTACTTTACTATAGGTCTGTGTCTTGGGAGGACATTGAATCCCCAGAACTGGGGTTACCGGTAGTTGTGAGGTGCCATGTGGATGTGGGTCTAGAACCTTGGTCTGCAAGAGCAGCTGGTGGGCTTAACCGATGAGCCATCTCCAGGCCTCGCTGGTGTACCTCTCAAACCCACATGGCCCCATTTCTTGCTGGCTGGAGTACTGCACTGTATTTCCTGTAGGAGTGAGCTGCTTCCATTTGAGAGCCTTATAGTCACGGCCATCTGGGGGTCGCCCTTTGGGCTACCTCTCTTGTGTGTCCTTGGTCTCTCTGGCCCAGTGTCCTTAGCAGGAGCAGAACTACTATCCCCTCTGTTCAACTGCTGGCACATCTGGGGACCTTGTCGCAGATCAGGTACACTGCTGCCAGTGAGTGGCCCATAGGAACCAGTGTGGCTTGCCTCCGCGTCTGTGTGTGGTGCGGGAGGCTGTCTGGAGCCCCAACCTTGCTGTGCCAGGGCCTTGTCCGCTCGGCTAGGACTCCCTGGGCCCCTCGTGGTCGTGACACCACAGTCATTAGCCAGCTAGCTCTGGAGGGCCTGCCCGCTGACCGCAGGGCTGTCCTGCCCTGGGTCGTGAGGTCTCCAGTGGTTTGCGCATGGAGGACTCAGTGCTGTGTGGGGTCGCCGTGGAGGTTTCTGGTGCGCAGCAGTCCTGTAGGCGACCCCGGGCGGGCTCATCGAGGAGGTGGAAACCCGGGCCCCGGCTCTAGCACCGGCCAGCCCTGTGGTGTTGGACATGTCACTTCCTTCTTTGTACCTGGGGGTGCCTCTATATGGGAGTGGTAATGGTGGCTCCTTAGGGTAATGGAGGTGCATTCCAAAGGGGCCCAGGAGCTCCCAAAGCTGGGAGCTGTGATCGCTGCAGGCTCCTGGCATTGCCTCAACAGTCACATTTGGGCCTCACGAAGGCGGCACCGTTGTCCACGTGCTGTCTAAAAAAAAGACTGTGATGCCTAAATTAATGTGTTAAGATGCAGTGTACACTGGAAAAAATAGTCTGTGCTGATCTTCGTGGAGTAGACTGTTTTGGTGGCGGGTTCCTGACTCATCCTGGTGTGGGGTGTTTTTCCTGCCCACAGAAGGCAGTGTCTTCATGGTGGCTCCCCTGTGCTCTCAGAACTTGTCTGGGCAGCAGGAGTTGGGGTGGGGGCTCGTTTCACAGGTTTTTGGGGGCAGTGCAGTCCTGGGGTAACAGTTCACTCAGAACATCAGCTCCTGGGCTTCTGAGCACGCGTGTGATTGGGCTACAGAAAGCCCAAGGAGGCTGCTGGAGCCTCACTGCCTGGCCTGGGACCTTGAGACAGGGTCTCACACGCAATTCTGAGTGACTTGGTACGTACTCTGTAGTTCAGGCTGGGCTTACGGGGGTGCGCCTCCATACTGTCCCAATGGGTTTCAAGGTGATCTCAGTCTGGCCTCAAGTTTCATGGTCATGCCTCGGTGTCCATGCTGAGTGGGCGCTGGGACTTCTCAGGCGGAAGTTTGCCCAGAGCAGGGAGAGGGTTAGTGGAGAGATGATCAGCAGGCAGGGTGTCCTGAACTGAAGTACCACGGAAATGCCCCGAGGCGGCTTCTTCCTCCCTGTTTATTGACTGCTCAGCAGTCGGCTCCCCTGATGAGTTTGCTGGCCGCCTTTGGAGCTCAGAGGGGAATACAGATTCCGCCGAAGCCCGGGTTTTTTTCATGTGACTGCGAGAGTTCCAGCCAAGCCCTGATCCCTCCTGTCTCCGACACAGATCTCCTGACCCCAGGCCTGCCCACAGATGGTTACAGCTGACTGGTGGACGCCAGACAGCACAGGCTTGCTTAAGATGAGGGAGGCCCCGGCTTGTCCCAGGCTGGCCCACGCCTCTTATGGATTACATGAGGATTAGAGCAGCCCCGTGCTGGAGAGATAGCTCAGTTCGTAAATACTTGAGTCTGTGTGATCCCCAGAACCAAGTGAAAAAGCTAGACATGGTGGCATGTGTTTAATCCCAACCCAGGAGTGTCAGAGGCAGCTAGGCCCCTGGTCTAACTTACTTGGTAAATTCCAGGCCAGCAAGAGAACATGTCTCAAAAGCAAGGTGGACAACACCTGAGGAAAAATACCTGCAGCACACCTGCAAAAAGTCCTTAAATGCTGAAAGCCTTTGTGAAGTAGGAGTCTTAAACTTCTCCCTTTGTCCACTAGAGAGCGCAATCCCGCATCAGGCAATGGTACTGCAAAGCTTAGGATTAGTTTTGGTTTTAAAGCCAAGACCATTTTTACCAGAAAGCTATGCAGGAGGTGCAGCTGCAGGGCGAGGCTCTTGCCTAGGAATCTGTCAGTTGGTCCCAGTTGTGCTCAGTTCCTAGGAAATGCTTGTCCTGGGACATCTGACCCTAGTCTGGGCTTGTGCAGTTGGGATGAGGGCATGTTCTCATAGGCCGTGCAGAGACACTCCTCAGGATTCTCATACCACACATACCAATATGTGGGTGGGTTCCCTAGCGTTAGTCTCCACAGTAGTTCTCAACCCGTGGGTCGCAACCCCTCTGGTGAATCTCTATCTCCAAAAATACTACGTTACAACTCAAAACAGCAAAATTATAGTTATGAAATAGCAACGAAAATAATTTTATGGTTGGGGGCCTCACCACAACATGAGGTATTTCTTAAAGGGTTGCAGCATCAGGAAGGTTGAGAACCGCTGTTTCAGAAACATCCAAGGCAAGAACATCCTGTACTAGACGCTGAAAAATACATGTTGGAGCCAGCGTGGTTAGATTTTGCTGATTGCCATCCCTTGGAAAAAGGATGTTGGATGGGCAGGAAGAGTCAGGATTCCAGAAATGCGGTCCTCTGAGCCTGGTTACCTACCACCTTTCTGAGGGACCAGACACATTTAATTGAGCTTTCTGATGGATCCCAGTGAAGTTTAATGGAGCGCTAACAGCTGGCCTCTAGGGCTAAAGACACCCTCTGGGGGAGGACAGGAACTATATTTGCGAAAGTGTGGGAAAGGAAAGGAATTAGGCTGACAAGGATGGGCATTGGGGTCTTCATTCCTGGGTGAGGAAACGCCAGAGGTGTCAGTGACCTTGAGCAAAACCTAAGGTCAGAGTAAGTGGGGAGAGGCAGGAAGAGCCCCTTGCAGAGGAGAGCTCAGCAATCTAGGTTCTGGGGTTGCTGGCCAGTCTGCTAAGGCCCAACGGCTGGGAAAGAGGGAGGCTTTAGCTTCCTGGAAAATGGTGTCAGGAGCTAGGATTCATCCATGCTTTCTTCTTGAGAGGGTGTGGGAAAGCCTACCCCTCATGAAGGAGCTTACATGGGGAGCTACAGCACTCTATAGCCTAGCTTGCCAGTCCTTGGGTCTGTAGCTAGCCTGCCAGGGCCTCCAGGAGTAGCTGAAATTACAGGCCTGCACCTCCAAACCCAGCTCCCCTGAGCTCCCTTGCTCATTCCTACCCCTGCCCCAGCTGCTGGGGGCGGGGTGGGGGGGGCGAGTAGCCCTTAGGCGTGGCTTTTCAACAAAGCCTGGGTATGTTTGTTTCGTTTAAGTCGCTGTTTAAACTGCTAACAGGAAAACTACAGAAGAGTGTTCTATAATCTTTACAAGTAGAAGCCTGTCTGGCTTTGGATGGCTCACATAGAACAACTATTTGTTCTGGGTTTTGTTTCCAGACCAATCATGCAGCTACAGCAGAAAACTGCCTCTGTCCTTGCCTGTATAAGTCACTGGAAGGTCATTTGTCCCCAGATTGTCAGCTGGGAGACTTATGTAATGGTTATGCAATGCCGATAGGATGCAGCCGCCGTTAGCTACCTCTGGCCAAGCGACTCAGTGAAAGCCGGACTCCGACTCTCTTCCTTTCTCCTGCAGTGAGGTTTGAACCAGGGCCTGGAGCATGCTGAGCAAGGCTTCACCACCAAGCTCCACCCCAGCCCTGTGGATCCTCCTCACCCACGTCTGAACTTGTGCTTTCACATCACTTCGAAGTTGTTCATCTTCTGACACAACCTGTGGAAAGCTTAGATGCTGAGTTATGGGAACTTCCTCCCATGAATGTCCCATCTTTGTACCAGAATTAGTCACCTTTTGAAAGTTAGTGTGGGAAATAGGAAGGCAACATAAGAGGGTCAGACTGAAGTAAAATCTTCGTTCCTGACATGGCCTCTCTTCTTAGGTGCTGGATCCCCTTTCTGTTTCCAAGAAAGGATGACAGACCCACTTGTGGACATCCTCTTTGTCACCGCCCCTTCCCCGGAACACCGTCCTTAGGACCCTAGACTTGACCACGTGCCGAGCTGCCTTCCGGGTTAGGCTGCCAAGCATGTGTCAAAATACCCACCACCTGCCATAGCAGGCAGCAAAGACCTGTGCTGTCCGGCTTCCTCAGTTTCCCTCATTGTCCCCTTGGCTGCTTTGTTTGTCCCTTGCCCAGGCAGCCTCTGACCTTCTTGTTAAGTGTTCCCATACTTCACAGCTGTATTCCAAGACAATCGCATTGCATGACCTGTCCCTCCCCCCCCTTTTTTTTCTCTCTCGGAAGTGTTGAAAGTCACTGTGATAATTTAGTTTAATATGTTAAAGTTCTGTGGGAGATCTGGAGATTTCTCAGACAATTGGGAATGGCACCACCTCAAGACCCAGCTATACCACTCCTGGC